ACAGGGGCTGGTAGTCAGTTACCCAGAACCTGCCAGTTAACTTCTTGTTCCTCCTCTAGCCCCAGGATGTGACCAACTTCACCATTGGTGGCTTTGCCCCTATGAGCCCCCGGATCAGCAGTCCCATGCACCCCGGTGGTGGAGGTGAGGGGGAGTCTGGCTGAGGCTGTGTTGGGATACGGGGGTAGAGGGGGTTGTTCAGCCCACAGTCACTGAGTGCCTGCTCTGGGCTGGCTTAGCTAGGTAGGGCTCACAGCCTGCTGGAGACCAGAGTGGTCAGGGCTGTGATGGGAAAGCCCAGAGGAGACTCCTAACCCAACAGGGGAAGAGGAGAGTAAAACAGATGGAAAGGGGGTTTGTGGGTACCCTGGCTATGGGCACAGAATGTGAGGGGAGGGCATAGCTCTGGGGACTAGTGATGTTCTCTTCCCTCCCCAGGTCAGTGTGGCGGCTTTGGTAGCCCAGGTGGCAGTAGCGGTGGCATGAACAGGGGCCGGGGGCGAAGAGACAATGAGCTCATCGGCCAGACTGTGCGAATCTCCCAGGGGCCCTACAAAGGTAACCTTCGAGGCTGTGTGGAGGCCTGGGGAGGGGCATGGTGAAGGAGAGCCCCATCCAACCTACTTCCTGCTCTCCGCCAGGTTACATTGGTGTGGTGAAGGATGCCACGGAGTCCACGGCCCGAGTGGAGCTGCACTCTACCTGCCAAACCATCTCTGTAGACCGTCAGCGGCTCACCACAGTGTATGAACTAGGCCAGGGCAGGGCTGGGAGAGGGCTATCAGGTGGTAAGAAGGCCCTACTAACCCCACTAGTTCTCTCTGTACACAGGGACTCACAGCACCCAGGTGGCATGACCTCAGCCTATGGGCGGACACCCATGTATGGCTCCCAGACACCGATGTACGGCTCTGGCTCCCGCACACCCATGTACGGCTCTCAGACACCTCTCCAGGATGGTGAGTGCTCCCCAGGGCACAGGGAGGAGGGGTGATGGGGGAACTAGAGAACTGGAGACAGGACTGAACTGAAGGACACATGCATCTCTCCTGTTACAGGCAGCCGCACCCCACATTATGGCTCGCAGACACCCCTGCATGATGGCAGCCGCACTCCTGCCCAGAGTGGAGCGTGGGACCCCAACAACCCTAATACACCATCACGGTGAGGACTAGGAGCTGGGGGGGACAAGGTTCCCTGAGCTACTGGGAGTGTGTGCTGTATGTAAGTGGTTTTGCTGGGTGTCTGGGGAGTAGAGGGGTCCAGATGGCCCACTCTGAATTGTCTGCTCCGGGCCCCAGGCTGGTTTGTGAAGGAGTCAGCATGGCTGGAGCCAAAATAATCTCCAACCCAACAACAGTAGTATACTGGTTACAACCTAGGTTTGGAGACAGAGTGTGTGACCTTGGTCATGTGACAGGTTGTGTGACTCTGGGCAACCTAATCCCTGACTGTAGTCTCCTCAGCTGTGAAGTGGAGGCCTCTGGTGAGGCTGTTGTCAGGATGAAGCTGTCTCGGTTTCTCTGGGTACAGTGCTGTTCTTGAAGCATTTGCTGCCTTGCTGTGGCCACCATCCTCAACAGACTTCTTTCCCCAACAGGGCCGAGGAGGAATATGAGTACGCCTTCGACGACGAGCCCACTCCATCACCACAGGCCTATGGGGGTACTCCCAACCCCCAAACACCTGGCTACCCAGACCCTTCATCTCCACAAGTTAACCCGCAGTACAACCCACAGACGCCAGGGACACCAGCCATGTGAGTTCACTGGGGTAGCCCTAATTAACCCCTGTCCAAACTCCCCCACTGCCACCGCCTCCTCTTCTCCACCCCCAACAAATGCCCCCTTCCATCCTTGTCTCTGCAGGTACAACACAGACCAGTTTTCTCCCTATGCTGCCCCCTCTCCACAAGGCTCCTACCAGCCCAGCCCCAGTCCCCAGAGCTACCACCAGGTGGCGCCAAGCCCAGCTGGCTACCAGAATACCCACTCTCCTGCCAGCTACCACCCCACACCCTCGCCCATGGCTTATCAGGTGCTGGTCAGCTGGCATGCCCTTGAGGGTGGTGGGCTAGGGTGGGCCTCAGGCCTTTAAGGACAGCCAGGTCCGATGACGGATTCCTAACAGTACTGCCCCTCTTTCCCTACAGGCCAGCCCCAGCCCGAGCCCTGTTGGCTACAGTCCGATGACACCGGGAGCCCCCTCACCTGGTGGCTACAACCCGCACACACCAGGCTCAGGCATTGAGCAGAACTCTAGTGACTGGGTAACCACTGACATCCAGGTGAAAGTGCGGGACACCTACCTGGATACTCAAGTGGTGGGACAGACAGGTGTCATCCGCAGTGTCACAGTAAGTGGGGCCCAGGCTGGTGGGTAGGCAGGCATCCTCTCCTTTGGGGTCCCCAGTCTCTGTGGTTATTGTTTGTTTTTTTCTTTTTAATTATCTAACCCCATCTTCCAATACCTGTCTCCACCCTCAGGGAGGCATGTGTTCTGTGTACCTGAAGGACAGTGAGAAGGTTGTCAGCATCTCCAGTGAGCACCTGGAGCCCGTCACCCCCACTAAGAACAACAAGGTAAGGAGGGACAAGTGACTGGGGGGGCATTGGGCTGCTGCAATGGACCCTAACTCCATGCCCCTCTCTAGGTGAAGGTGATCCTGGGTGAGGATCGGGAAGCCACAGGTGTCCTGCTGAGCATCGATGGTGAGGATGGCATTGTCCGCATGGAGCTCCCCAACTGCCACCACCTCCTCTTCCCCACCAGTTCCCCACCAGTTCCCCACCAGTTTCCCACCAGTTCTCCACCAGTTCTCCAACAGTTCAAGATCCTCAACCTCCGCTTCCTGGGGAAGCTCCTAGAGGCCTAAAGCAGGCCAGGCAGTTGGACTTGAGCAGACATCTGGCAGATAGAGGGTGTTCTTCCTTCTCTCCCTGGCCCTTGGTTCTGACATAGGATCCAGGTGTGGAGCAGACCCTAGCTTGGTAGTTCAGGATTTGTTTTCTTTTCTGGGTTCCTATCTTTCTCCCTGATGTTCATGAGAATCAGTAGAGTCTGGGGAGGGTCACCACCTTCTTATATCCCCCCTTCCTCAGCTTGCTTTTATGTTAGGGTCTTTCAATAAAAAGCTGTCAAAAGTGTATGTATGTGTGGTCTGGTTTGTAAGGGGTCATTTGTAGACCCTACTTGTGTGGTCTTGGGCAAATAATGGTCCTACCTAAGCCTCAGTTTCCCCATGTAGAAAATGATTGGGGAGAGGAGTCTGAGAAGACATTGTAAAGAGGTTATTGGGACAGAGCCTGCCATGTGATTGATGAAATTACATTTTACATTTGTGTTGTGTGAAAATCAGTCATTACCCGCCCCAGGAAACCTGTTTCTCCTGTGGTATGGTATACAGCATTTGATGGTCCCTTCTCTTGAGCCCACATAGCAGTGACACCAGAATTACTGTAGCTTGTCTGATGGCTTGGGGAGTATGGGGAGCAGTGTAGAGAATGTAACTTAGTACCTTGACCTTCCTTCATCTTCCTCATTTGATACATCTTTTTACAAATGCAACAAAATGAATTATAAAATATTTCACATGTTCGCCCTGGCCAGTTTGGCTCAGTGGTAGAGCGTCGGCCTGACCAATGAGTCTCAGGTTCGATTATGGCCAAGGCGTGTACCTCGGTTGAGGTTCGTCTCCAGTCCTGGTTGGGGTTGTGCAGGAGGCAACCAATTGATGTGTCTCTCTCACATCAATGTTTCTCTTTATTTTTTTCCTTTATTGATTTGAGAGAGAGTAAGGGAGAGGGGGAGAGAGAGAAACATCAATGAGAGAGAACAGATTGGCCGCCTCCTGCATGCCCCCCTACTGGGGATCAGGCCCACAACCTGAGCATGTGTCCTGACCCAGAATCAACCTGGCAATCTCTTGGTGCATGGGTTGACGCTCAAGCACTGAGCCACACTGGCCAGACCATCAGTGTTTTTCTCTTTCTCTCCCTCCCACTCTGCCTGAGGATAAATGAGAAAATATCCTCAAGTGAGGATTAAAAATATATATTTCACATGTTCAAAAAGATACATACCAGGAACACCTGTGTCCCCATCACCTAGTTCAGGAAACAGTATCTCCCACATAGGACCCACTTTAGCAGCACCCCCAGTTTATTCCCCTGCAGAGGTATCCACAACCCTAATTCCTTTGTCTTTTTTTTTTTTTACTGTTTTTATTAATTTCAGAGAGAGAGAAACAAATTAGCTGCCTCCCCTGCATGCCCCCTACTGGCGATCGAACTGGAAACGGGCATGTACCCTAACTGGGAATGAAACCTGGGACCACTTGGTGCACAAGAGGACGTGCAGCCAACTGAGCCACATTGGCTGGGCCTGTTTGTCTTTTAACTAACTCTGTATTTTTACTACCATAATACGTACCCCTATATGTTACATGGTCGTTTGACATGTTTTTAAAGTTTACATAAATACTATCAGACTTTATATCCCCCTCAAAATAATCTTAAGGAGAGCCATCGCGGCTACCTCTGGCCTCTAATTCGCAGACTTCCCCCACTCCCGACCCCGCCCGACACGCCGCTGTTCCTTTGGCAGGTACCCAAGAAATGGTTGGCCTTCCAGACCCTCGAGAAGATGCTCATGGGGGGAAGGGCAAGAAAGGGCTCTGAGAACAGAAGAGACAGATGGGCCTCCCGGCTCCACGCTGAGGAAGCGAGTTTGGGGGGGCTGGCAGTCCTAGGATTCCTTCATTACGGGCCCACCTTGACCTCTGAGCAGGTCGTGTGTCCGGGGCGGTGAAGTGCCGCAGAGCCCGAGAGGGGCGTGGAGCCGGCTGACGCTCCGTCCTGTAGGCGAGCGGGGGCTGTCCTCTCGGGCCCTTTGTCTCTCTGCGGCTGCCGTCCGCCCGTCCCGCCCCTGCGCACCCATTGGTCGAAGCCCCGGCCCGGGGACGAGAGAGACGGGGGCGAGTGGGCGGGGCCGAGTGGCGTCAGCGCAAGATGGCGGCCTCGGCGGTGCTGTCCCTGCGCCTGGGGAGCGGGCTCCGGCTTGGCGCGCGGGGGTTGTGCGCGAGGCTGATGACACCGTCCCCTCGGGTTTCAGACCAGGTGAGTGGGCTCCGGGTGCAGAGGCCCCTTCCTGGAGTTCCGGGTGGACCGCCGCCGCCCGAAGGTTTGGGGACGCAGCACCTTAGGGTGCTGAATGGAACTCCGCCGCGTTTCGGGTTTTTCCCAGCCTCCCGGGGTGGCCGGCGTTTGCTCCCCAGGGCTAGATGCTGGGGGCTCAAGTGTGTTGTCAGGTCTCCACTTCATTTGGACACCACGTGGGAGCCGGGGGAGGAGGGTCACCTGTTCCTCATCTCTGACCGCTCAGGTAGCAACTTGAGGGGGAAGGAGTCGGGACGCTGGGATCCCAGCTTGGCCTTGAGAGGATTTTCCCAGTGGTGGTGAAGTAGATGGTCGGACCCTTGATTCAACCTGCCTCCATGTTGATTGAGAACCAACGTTTCTGACCTCCAGGTCCAGCATTTCCGTACCCTACTCCAACCCCCAGACGAGCGATTGCACCCACCCCCGTCCGCGCTCGCATTCTCTTCCCCTCTTTATCCTGAGCCCCAGACGTGAGGTGCCTTAACTCCCTGTTCTTTCCCCTCGTGGGTCCTCCGTTGCCTTGGGCCTGGCATGCCAGTGTTGAGCCAGGCTCCCTGATCTCATCTCCCCGCCCTGCTTTTCTGGGCTCCAGGTTATCCAGTCCTTTGCCCCCAGGATCCTGGGCACCCGCCCTATCAGCTCTTGAATCCTTAGTATCCTGGAGTGGAACAGTATTTGTTGACCTCTCTGAGAGACCTGATCATTCTCCAGGGGTACAACCCCACAGGCTATGTGGGTGGCTGCTTCCTGGCTGAAGATCTTGATTCCTTTTTTTTCTACTTAACAATTTGAGAGAGAGAGGGAGAGGGAGAGAGAGAAACATCAATGAGAGAGAACATGAATTGGCCGCCCCCTGCAAGCTCCCCACTGGGATCAGGCCCACAACCTGGGCATGTGCCCTGACCGGGAATCGAACTGGTGTCATCTTGGTGCATGGGTCACTGAGCCGCACCAGCTGGGCGAGACCTTGATTCTTTTTTTTTTTTTTTTTTAAATCCTCACCCAAGGACATTTTTCCATTTTTTTGTTCAGGTAGAGTGGGAGAGAGAGAGAGAGGAAGAGAGAGAGAGAGAGAGAGAGAGAGAGAGAGAGAGAGAGAGAGAGAAACATCAATGTGAAAGGGACACATCGAGTGGTTGCCACCCGCATGACCCAACCAGGGCCGGGGACAAATTGTAACCAAGGTGCATGCCCTTAGCAGGAACCGAACCCCGGTCTCTCCAGACCACAGGCCAATGCTCTAGCAGTTGAGCCAAACCAGCCAGGGCGAGACCTTGATTCTTATCCAACAAGGGTGCCTAAACTATCCTGACTTTCTCCTCACTTGGCTAATCTACCCCTTCTCAATTATAGACTAAGGAGAGTGGAAGCCGTCCCAGCACTAAGGCCCAGGCCCAGGGATCACAACAGCAGCGGGGCACGGAGGGTCCCAGCTACGCCAAAAAAGTCGCACTCTGGCTTGCTGGGCTGCTTGGGGCCGGTGGGACCGTGAGTGTCATCTATATCTTCGGTGAGGGACATATTCCTGTCCTGCAATTTTGTTCTTTTGGCTCTTTATTCTCCTGCAGAACCTTCCCCTGCTTACCCTAAGGGCTTTATCCATCATCATTCAGGGGCTCCTCCCACAGTAGGGCAGACAACTAGAACTTCTACCTTGGAAAGGGGGAAATCTCCTTTCTTCTCCCTTCTATCCCTTCTGCTCCAGGTTCCACTGTTTCTAGTTGGTTTCTGCACTAGGCCACAGGGAAGAGGGAAAGAGATGGGGAAGGATAGGCCTGAACCAGTCTCCTAAGCTGCCTCTTTCCCCTGTACCCAAAACCCCAGCCCTCCCTAAGCCCTTTATCCCTCAGAGACCCAGGAGACCCAGCCCCATTACTTCTTTTTTCAGAAACTCAGGGATCCCGGCTACAAGCCCCCTCCTTTCTCAGTCCTCCTTTCTTAGGAGACTATGTTTCAAGCCCTCTTCCCTACACCAAGAGTCCAGGCCCCCTACTTTCTTCCTCCCTCAAGACCCAGGAGACACGGTCCCAATTCCTCTCATTCATTCCTGTCTTCCTTGCAGGAAACAACTCTGTGGATGAAACTGGTGCCAAGGTGAGGGGGGAAGAGACCCAGAGGACTTGCCAGGGGCCCCATCCTGTGGGTACCCTCCCCTTTGGTCTGTTCAGGTTCATTTCTGGTTTGGGTGAATCTCTCCCTCCCAGGCACCTTTGCCAATCCCTTTCAGGGCCCTGGAGATTCTTTTTTTGGGTGTGTTGGGGTTTTACCTCTGCCATTCCAAACCCTCAGTTTTTCTCTCTACCTCATAGATTCCTGATGAATTCGACAATGGTGAGTAAACAAGCACAAATTCTGGGGCTCTCTGACCCTCCTTACTCTGCTATTTGTAGGGATGTTTCCCTGCCCATATGGTGCCCCTGACTCCTCCTCCTGCTGGTGGGTAGGGGAGTCAGCAGCTGTATGGCTTTAGGGGGAGGGGCATTACAAAGCCCCAGTCCCCTTTCCTGGCCCCTTAGCCCAGGAGCAGATGGTCTGGGACAGATGGGGGAGGGGAGTCTGGGATGGGAGTACTCGGGAGAAGGCGCTGTCTATTGCCAGACACACATGCCTTCCTGTGCCTTAGATCTGAGCATATGCAGCCCCTAACTCCCTCCTCTTTATGACAGCCTCTTTCTTCCCCCAAGCCCCTACCCCATCTAGCTCCTCATTTCCAAAACAATGCCTCCTTCCTTCCTCCCCCTGTTAGTTAACCAACTTTTGGTGAGGAGTTTCTGACAAATTGGTAATAGAGAATAGTTGTCAGTTTTGTTACACCTGGCCCTTCCCAGGGGAAAAATAAAATTGGTAGGTCCAGAAAGCCACCTGTTTGTGCTGGGAGGTTTGCAAACTAGCATATTGATGCATTGTTTTAAACTGGGCAGGTGGGTAAATATGATGTTTTAACTGGGCAGAAACAGAATTGTACTGGTTTAAACAAATTAATGTACCGATTTAAACTGGTTAGAATATGTGTTTACTAGCTTAGCTGGTTTAATGTTTTGGGTTTTAAAACTAAAAATACTGCATTGAAGTAGGCAGTTATGTAAGTGTTCTCCTTTAAATTAGATTCAGCTAATTCATTTATTTATTTTTTCCTTTTATTAATTTTTAGAGAGAGAGGAAGGGAGAGGGAGAGAGAGAAACATTAATGAGAGAGAACACCGATTGGCTGCCTCTTGCATGCTCTCCCCCCACCCCCACCCCCCCATTGGAGATCAGGCCCACAACCTGGGCATGTGCCCTGACTGGGAATCAAACTGGCAACTTGGTGCATGGGTCAGTGCTTAGCCAGTGAGCCACACTGGCTGGGGATTCAGTAAATTCACTTAAACCAGGATTTTTTCAGTCGTGGCCCTGATGATACATTAGAATAGATAATTCTTTGTTGTTGGGGAGTATCCTGTGCATTGTAGGATGTTTAGCAGCATCCTGGGCCTCAACACACTAGCTGAGTACCTTGACAATCAAAAATGTCTCCAGCCCCGGCCAGTGTGGCTCAGTGATTCAGCATTGACCCATGCACCAAGAAGTCGCCAGTTTGATTCCTGGTCAGGAATACCCAGGTTGTGGGCCAAATCCCCAGTGGTATGTAGGAGGCGGCCAGTTGATGTTCTCTCTTATTGATGTTTCTGTCTCTCTCCCTCTTCCTTCCTTTCTCTAAAATCAATAAGTAAAAAAAAAAAAAAATCTTAAATGTCTCCAGGCATTGCCAAATTTCCTGAGAAGAAGGGGAAACAAAATTGCTCCTACTTGAGAACCACTGGTTTAAAGTTCATAGATGTGTGTATATGTCCATAGTTTTTAACTAGACTCAGCATACTAGCTTAAAGCAGGCAAATCTTTAAGCCTAGTGGTTCCAGATGTACTGAACATAGTGGTGTCATGTCAGCAGAGTTATAAGTGGGCAGATGTATAAACATTCTACTGTATAGATAGAAGTATTTAAGTTAAAGCTGGGCAGGTGAAGAAGTACTTTGTTCTCGTCTGGTGGTTATGTCACTGCCTTCTACCTTTGGACTTAGAAATTCGGCTGGTTCAGACCAGGTGGGTATGTAGACCTGTTTGTGTCTGGTAGATAAGTAAAGCCCTGGTTGTCCAGAGGTTGAACTGTGGTTTATCTTGAAATCCCTTTGTACCCTCATGTTCTAGATCCAATTCTGGTACAGCAGTTGCGCCGGACATACAAATATTTCAAAGATTATAGACAGGTGAGCAGGAGCCCCAGGCCCAGTCCCTGTCCCTTCAGTCCCCGGCCCTCTGCTCCTTGTCTCAGTGCCCTCCTTCTGTCCCTGTACCACAGATGATCATCGAGCCCACCAGCCCCTGCCTCCTCCCAGACCCCCTGCGGGAGCCGTACTACCAGCCGCCCTACACGCTGGTCTTGGAGCTCACCGGCGTCCTCCTGCACCCTGAGTGGTCGGTGTGTCCTGGGAAGGCAGTGGTTGGGGACGCTGGATAGACCTGGGTGGCCAGCTCATGATGGTGTGGTTAGGAGCATAGACTCGGGAGCCCCAGTCCGGGTTTAGCCACAGCTCTGCTGTGTGAACTTGGGGAGAAGGGGCTCCTCTCATTGCCTCTGTTCTCAGCTGTGATCGCCCCTCCCCGGAGGTTGTTGTAAGTGTGCCTTGGCACAGTACGTGCTGCAGGGGGCCAGCTGTTATCCCGGGACCCAGACCCTCCAAAATCCCAGACCCTCAGTCACAGCCATGTCCTTCTGAACCCCCCGCCCCCCAAGAGCCATAAAGATGGGGAGAGCACTCTGGTTTTGGGTCTTTGATCTCTTGAGGACTCTGGAGACCTCTAGGTCTAGGTTTCACTGTTCTTACTGCCTCCCCAGCTGGCCACTGGCTGGAGGTTTAAGAAGCGTCCAGGCATCGAGACCTTATTCCAGCAGCTCGCCCCTTTGTATGAAATCGTCATCTTTACGTCAGAGACTGGCATGGTGAGCCCCTGGGGAGGGAAGGGGTGGTCGACGTGGGGGCGGTACAAGGGACTGCAAGGCCAGGGCTCAGTCTGCCCTTTTCTCCCTCCGTGGCACTGCAGACTGCGTTTCCACTCATCGACAGCGTGGACCCCCACGGCTTCATCTCCTACCGCCTCTTCCGGGACGCAACACGATACATGGATGGCCACCATGTTAAGGTGCCGTAGGGGGGCCATGGGTGGATCTCTAGGACTGGGGGCTGGGGCTGGCACTGAGAAAGAGGACCCAGCTCTGGCCCTAGTGTCAGTCCTGCTGGGTCTGCTCCAGGTCTTATTCTGGCAGGACACCAGCCTGCCCCCACCCTGAGCTAGGCCTCGGGGCCCTTCTTCCTTCCCCAGAACCTAGCAGTGGGAGTGAGGGGAAATGGGATCTTCCCAAGGGGGCAAGGGGTGGGGACATGAGGTTTGGAAGCTGTTTTTGTTTCTCTGTGTCTGGAACTGAGTGTCTCAGGTACTGGGTAATTATAGTATCTGAGACTTGGTTGGGGTTTGTTTGACCTGGGGTCTGTTGCTGTCACCAGCAGTATGTCTCCGGGTCCAGGAGTTCGTGGGTCTGTGAATGGGTCTCTTTGTGGGTCTGGGTCCAAGTTCCCATGTGTTTAGGTGTCTGTGGGGCTTCTCACTGTATGTTGGTGGGTCTGTATAGTTCTTGAAGGTTCTGAAGGACGTGAACTGCGATTGAGGGTTTTGAAGGGGTCTCTGAGTGCCCGTCTCTGAGTGAGTCCCTATGTGGCTCTAGATCTGTCCGCACCTCTTTATCTGGGTGAGAGGTGCACAGACTTTCAACATGTTGCTGTCACTTGGGGCAGTAGTTGAACACACAAGTGCCTGGCTCCTTCCCCAGGGAGGCTCCAAATCAACCTGTGTCTGCAGGGGCCCTGGGTCCAGGAATCTGTGTGACTGGCTTCCTGGGGGATTTGATGCTATCATCCCAGCCTGGTCTTTGGGAGGCTCCATTATAGTGATCCCAGTACGCAATGGTGTGTGTGTGTCTGTCTGTCTCTCTGTCTCTTCTGTGGGTTCCTGGTGGGAAGGGACATAGGCTTTGATCTGACCTTTCACCTACTTCTAGGACATTTCGTGTCTGAATCGGGACCCAGCCCGTGTAGTAGTTGTGGACTGCAAGAAGGAAGCCTTCCGCCTACAGCCATACAATGGTGTTGCACTTCGGCCCTGGGATGGCGACTCCGATGACCGGGTCTTGTTGGACCTGTCTGCCTTCCTTAAGAGTGAGGCTGACCCCTGACCTGGCCTGTTTCCCCAGAGCCTTTGACCCGCAAGAGGAATGATAGCCACTTGATTCTGGCTTTTCATGTAAAACTGGATAATTGAGATTTGGGAGGTCCACGAGTGCATCTTGCAATCTTTAGAAGCTTAGAATGTTTGGGGTGCTCCTTAGGAATGTTTAGGGGAGCCTTTTGAAAGTGCTGAGAAGCATTTCAGGTAGCACTGACCCCCTAGTATCTGACCTTTACCCTTGTGGGCCTGCCTCTGGCCCTCAGCCTGGCTGACCCCCACCTGCTGTACCCCCAGCTATCGCGTTGAATGGTGTGGAGGATGTCCGGACCGTGCTGGAGCACTACGCCCTGGAGGATGACCCGCTGGAGGCTTTCAAACAGCGGCAAAGCCGGCTAGAGCAAGTGGGTGCTCAGATCCCAGCCCAGGTCGGGGACACCATAGTCGTCCCCTGGGTTCCTGAAGGTGGAGCCCTGGAGCAGCCTGGCTCAGCTCTGGGCTGTGTGGCCTTGACCAAATACCCTCTTTTCCATACCACGTGACCTGTAGGGCTATTGTAATAATGGACAAATTGATTCTGCACCTGCTCCGAGAAAAGGAGGCAGGAAACCACGCATTTGAGATAGGTCTGGGAGAGGGGTTGTCCTTGATGGTCTCGAGCTGGTCTAGGGGCCCCAGTTATTTGTGGACCATGGGTCGGGTCAGGTCTGGGAAGAGGGACCTATGGACACTTGGCCCAAGGATCTGGGGAAGGAGTTCTGGTGGTCTAATGTGATCCTGGTGACTTGGAAGTAGGGCTGAGTGTGGATTGAGTGTGGGAAAGAGATTCCCTGGGATCTAGGCAGAGGTTGACTAATTCTGAGTTGGGTCCTTGGAGTAGGGCCGGAGTTTCTGGGAGATTAGGGCCTGGTATCCTCCACATCCACACAGAGGTCGAAGGGCTCAGGGCTAGGCACTGGGAGCCCAGGGAGCAGAGCAGCACAGCCTGGTAAAGGGCTCAGCATCCACGTTGGGGTAAATAGGTGCCCAGGGTTGAGGAAAGGGGGTCATGAATTGAGTCTGGGCTCCTGTGGCTCAGAGCTAGCTGCTGCCAGTGTCGGCTGGGTTCTCGAGGTCTGGGCTGGGGTTCTGGGGTTTGGGGAAAGGGGTCTGGGCTGGGTTCTCGAGGTCTGGGCTGGGGTTCTGGGGTTTGGGGAAAGGGTCTGGGCTGGGCAGAGGTTGAGGGAAGGTGGCTCCTGGGCTGAGGGTTGGGGACCTGGGAGTCGGAGGAGGCTCTCCCCACTCTGGCTGACTCTTCTCCTCCATCTGTGCCCCGACCCCAGGAGGAGCAGCAGCGCCTGGCCGAGCTCTCCAAGCCCAGCAAGCAGAATCTGTTCTTCGCCTCTCTCACCAGCCGCTTGTGGCCTCGCTCTAAACAGCCCTGACCTCTGGGCCTCCTCAAACTCAGTGCCTGAGTCCCGGACCCCAGGCTTGCAGTGCTCCCAGACCACGGCTTGGGCAGCCACATGTCCAATAAAGTCCATCCAGACGCCATACTCCTGTGTCCGGAGAGTCTCCAGATGGGGGCATCGGGGTGAGGTCTGAGTGATCAGCTGCCAAGCCCAGAAAGGGTGCTTTGGTGGATCAGGGCTGGTTTTTAACCCAGGCCTGGGAATCTGAAAACCTGGGTCCCTGCTTTGGCTGAGTCTTCCCACGTGCTGTGTGATCTGCAAAAAGTGCATCTCCCTCTCTGGCCGCAGATTCCTCATCTGTGGAAAGGAGAAGAGAGGACTGTCCTGGGGGTTTAAAGACAGGTAGCTGCCAGGCTGCTGTGTGGATATGTGAAGCGTGGGCTCAGTGGACTCGGGTGGACAGAGATCGGCTGGATCTCCAGAGCAGCCGCTGCTCAGCTCTGCCAGCCGTGGCCCCGTGGACAGGTGGGTATAGTGGCTTGATCTTCTGATTTTCAGTGGAAGCCAGAAATTGGGGTTTGTATATTAAGTCTCCTCAACATTTAAATGTTGGCTTCTAATTAAAACAGGCAGGCTGTGCAGCAGCACTCACGGGACTTTCTGGGCGTTCGGGCCGTTCTGTATCTGCACTGTCCAGTGGCCTCAGGCGGCTGTCAGGGACCTGAAATGTGGCTGGGGGAACCAAGGAATGGAATTTTACATTTTGTTTCATTTTAATTAATTATAAATAGCTACATGAGGCTCCGAGGTCCTGATTGCACAGCACTTATTATTTAAGAGTATGAGTTCCGGACTGTCCAAGTTCACATCCAAGCTCTGCCACTTCTGACTGTGATGCTGGGCAAGTTACTTCACCTCTCAGTGCCTCCGTTTCCACGTTTATAAAATAATAACAGTACCTGCCCCACACTAGGCTTGAGGGCTGAGTGAGGCGCTCTGTGGAGGCCCTCAAATGGTAGCTGTGTGAACTTTGGACAAGGCACTTTTCTGCCTCGGTTTTCTCTTCTGTGAAATGGAGGTGATGACAGTATCTATCTTAGTAGAGTGGTTAGCGGGTTAAAGGGGACATTTCCTATTCAGGCTCTATGTAGACTCACATGGGCCTTGTTACCAGGCCATACTGGTTATTTCGATGGAAATAACCTGTCTAGTTTGGCAGCCCTCCTGTGGCCAACCCAGCCTCTGCTGCTGCAGCAAGCATTTGGCGTTAGTACGTGAGGCTCCATGTTAAATATTTTTTAAAGACCTTCTCTGGTGGTAGTTATAATAATTAAAATGTATTTGAAACTGATAGGCCAGGTTGAACTTCTGAACTCTAGATTTTTGAAAAGGTACACAGACGTCTACAAAGAATTAAGACATGCACCCCCAGCCCTGGCCGGTTTGACTCGGTGGTTGGAGCATCAGCCTGCGGTCCAGAGAGACCTGGGTTTGATTCCCGCTAAGGGCATGTACCTTGGTTGCAGTTTGTCCCTGGCCCTGGTTGGGGTCATGCAGGTGACAGCCACTTGATGTGTCCCTTTCACATCGATGTTTCTCTCTCCCTCTCCCTCCCACTCTATCTGAACAAAAAATGGAAAAATGTCCTCGGGTGAGGATAAAAAAAAAGACATGCACCCCCAAACCCCAAGATGTACTGTCTATAACACAGGGAATGGTTCCTCAATGTCCCTAGGACTTCCTGGTTTGAGGACTTACGAGGGACAGAGGGAGGGGCCTGTGTTTTTGTTTGTTTGCTTGCTTATTTTCCACTTACCTTTGAGCATTGGAGACTGTGTTAATCAGAGGCCAAGGTGGAGACCGAGGCTTCGTGTTTGGGCAATGTGATCCTGGGAAGAGTGAGTTGTGGGCGGAGGGAGAGCCACCACAAGTGTGTGCTTGCCTGCTGCGTGGGTGTGGGTGAGTGGGTGTGGGTGACAGTCCCATGGAACCTGAGGAGCCTTTTGAAATGTAATTCAGATCTGTCTGCCCACAGGGCATGAGAGGAGGAAATGTGTTTGCCCGTTGGCCCCTGTCCCCCAGTGGTCAAGAATGGCTCCTGGGGATTAAGGTTCTGGCACTGGGGGGTGCACGTGCTTCAGTACCCAGTGGGTTCCCCCAGGCTTCTCCCCCAAACCTTGGTGCTGTTTTAGGGATGGTGCTGTCAGGCCACACTTGCTCGAGGTTGGAGGGGAGGAGAAGGTTCCACTTGTGCGCAGGCGGCCTGTGAGGCACTGCTTACATCCCTTGGCCTAGAATGTCTTCCTAAAATGCTCTGGGGCTGCATCATGGCATCCTCCGAAGGGCAGGACTGAGGCATTGTTAAGGTATATCCCAACAGGGTCTGAATTCTCATGTCACACACCATCTACAAGCCCTGTGATCTTGGACAAAGTCTCAAGTCTCTCAGTTTCATCATAAGAGGTTAATAATGCCTCCCTCATTCATCCACTGTGTCCTAAGCACCAACTGCCAGGCCTTGTTCTAGGAGCTAGAGGGCAGCAGTGAGCAAATCAGATTTTAAAAACTCTTGACTTGGTGGAGCTGATAATCTCATGGAGAAGACAACTGTTAGCCATTTCTTGGAGTAATAAATGCATGAAGAAAAATAGCACTGGCTGGTGTGGCTGGCTCAGTATGCACCAAAGGGTGGTCAGTTTGATTCCTGGTCAGGGCACATGCCTGGGTTTTGGGTTTGATTCCTGGTATGTGGTGTGCAGGAGGCAGCTGGTCAATGTTTTGCTCTCATATCAGTGTTTCTCTCTCCCTCCCCCTCCCTCTCTAAAAATTAATAAACTACTTAAAAATAAAATATGGTAAGGAGATGGAATGGTTAGGAAAGGACTTGGGATAGTATATTTGAGCTGAGACCAAAATAGAATGAGGAAAGCCATGTGTGTAAGTGTGCCAGGCATGGCCACCTCAGGGCCTTTGCACTTGCTGTTCTGTCTGCCATGAATGTTTTCCTCCTAGATCCATATAGCTTACTCCCTCCCCTTCTTTAGGTCTTTGCTCACATGTCACCTCAGCATGGCCTTCTGTGGGCACATAAGGAAAAGTCCTGAATAGCCAAAAAGACACTTCAAATCCCTTAAAGTACTTCACACGCAGACGTGAGATGATTCTCATGAAACACTGTTATGCCTGGCACAGACCCTCAATAAAGGCTGGCTGTTTTTATGATCTTTAAAATTTTTGTGATATCAGACCTGGAATCTGTTACCTTTTCAAGTTATCCAGGGCAGGAATTTGTCTTCTCTCACAGCTGGTTCTAATGGCTGTCCAAATTCCATTTGAATGTCTCATGATGGGAAGCTCCCTCCACCTACCCCAGTACAGGGCCTAATTTGCCTCCCAGTAATTGGTCCTACTACTACACTTTGGGGCCACGGAACCTGTTTGAGTAGGGTGGATGTAGAAGGAGGGCCTCACATGTCAACCTCAGAATCTTGAAGTACATTTTAAAGGCACTGGGGAGCCATGGGACAGTCTGCAGGAGAGGGACATGGTCAGATGTGTGCTTAGAAAGACCCCAGAGGTCAGAGTAGTCAGGTTTGGGATAGAGTAATTACAGGAGTCTGTGGGAACTCAGGAGATGCCTGACCTTGGAGTGTCAGGGAAGACCTCCTACAGGAGGTGAGGCCTGACTGGTGAGAACATAGTAGAGGGAAAACCTGTGCAAAGGAATCTGGGATGTTCTGCACAATTTGACCATGGTCCTCTGCTCAAAACCCATGCCTCCCTTCCTCAGGATTAAGAGAAAACTGAGTTGAATTCTTTCATGCATTAAAAATGACTAAGTACTGCCCAGCTGGTGTGGCTCAGTGGTTGAGCTTCGACCCACGCACCAAGAAGTCGCTGGTTCGATTCCCGGTCAGGACACATGCCCAGGTTGAGAGTCCAATCCCCAGTGGGGGGGCAGCATGCAGGACGGGGGCCAATCGATTTTCTCTCTCATCGATGTTTCTATCTCCCTCTCCCTTCTCTAAAAAATCAAAAAAATAAAATCAATAAAGAAAAAAAATTACTTAGAACTTAATATATGCCTGGCTCTGCTGGGCTATGTTTTATTCTTCATTCTGTCTTACTTCACTAAAAGAAAAATATGTATATAAATTGAACCTGTATATTCCCCTGTAATTATTAGCCTCTAAGTATTAAACTTTTTATTTTATTTGTTGGGGTGGGGGAGAGTTTACTCCATCTAAAGGGCTTTGCTCAGCATCTTGCACAGTGAGTGGGGCTGGAACATCTGCTCCTGACTGGCTTCCCTGGCCTTCGTCCTGGAATACTAAGGGACTTCTGGAGGGCCCGTGCCCCACCCCCACCCACGCCTCCCATTCATCCTGGAGTGCGGAGCTGGCCCTTGATATGTGAAGACGGAATTTCCTGCCCATTTGCTCCTCACACCTTCCGGAGGCCAAACGGACTGCCCAGCTGCAACCCAAAGGGGGAGGGGCGCGGCTGCCCGGCAGATGGCGGCATTTACATACAGCTGGGAGCCCCCTTGAAGACCGGGCTCCTCGCCCTGGCGTCTGTGCATCCATGATGCGGGTTTGGGAGGATGGCGTTATCTCGGGGAGGGGAACACACACGCAAGTCCACAAAGAACCCCGGTTCTCCATGTCCACAGCTACGCCCATGGACCTCCCACACTCAGTCATTCACAACTTTGCAGACCTTCCCCTACTCCCTCCACACGGCTACCTAGACCTGCACAGACCACAAAGCCACAGGGTCATATGGACTATACCCCGTGGCCCAGGATCTCATATACTCTTACACGTGCACAGAGACGCAGCCACGCAGCCACACAACCACACAATCGTGAAGTCACATACCTCTCCATTCTCTCATGTAGGTGCTGGGGCGGGTGCGTGTACACACACACACACCCCGAATCTTAGATTGTTTACTGCCTCACACGTGGAGCCACAATCTCACCTAGACACTCAGAGTCACGAACACCCTCCAGTAGCTCTTGCTCACACCATCACCCACAGAATCTTATCTATAACCCCTCACGGTAGGGCCTAACCCTACCCCATCCTTAGCCACACAGTCGCGCCCACGACCCCACACAAGGTGATGCACACTCACCACACTGCCTGTGCCCACGACACAAACTTAGGTCGCTCCAGCATGCATCCTTTCCCCTCGACCTCCCCCCCCCAGGGTCTCCTGGAGCCCCGCGACCGCTTGAAGGGGCGGGGCCGTCCCCTCAGATATAAAGCTCCTGAGCCAGCAGCTGCGGCTCCTCAGACCCCAGAAAGGCCATGGTCGGCCCGTGGATGCCCCAACTCCTGTCCCGGACGGTGATCCTGGCGCTCTTTTTCCTTCCCCAGGTCAGAGCGGGGTGGAAAGGGATGGATGGAGGGGGTGAGAGCCGGAGGTCTTGGGGAGGAGGTGCGGGGCGGACTGGGCGCGTGGGTACCCGCGGTCCGGTCACCCTGTGCCCCCTCCGCTCCAGGCGCGGCCGGCCGGCGTCTTCGAGCTTCAGATCCACTCTTTTCGGCCGGGACCAGGCCCGGGGGCCCCCAAGCCCCCCTGCAGCGCCGGGGGGCCCTGCCGCCTCTTCTTCAGAGTCTGCCTGAAGCCAGGGGTCTCCGAGGAGGCCGCGGAGTCTCCGTGCGCCCTGGGTGCGGCGCTGAACGCGCGTGGACCGGTCTACACCGAGCAGCCCCGGGCTCCAGCGCCTGACCTGCCGCTGCCCGCCGGCCTCATGCGCGTGCCCTTCCGGGATGCCTGGCCAGTGAGACCCGGCCCCGGGGCACCCCCGTGCTGGGTTCCTTACCCAAACCTGGACCTCTTTCTGTCCTCCCAACTTCCAAGGTCCAAGCCCTGTCCCCCACATTCCAAATCCCCAGACCAGTAACTCGACCACTTCAAAACTCCCTTTCTCAGAACCATAAACCCTACCCATTGGGGACCCCAACTTTTCTGACTCCAACTTGCCCTCTAGGTATCCAAAATGTTATGATCCCAGCCCTGCATCTTGGGACCCCAAATTCCCAGAACCTCCCAACTCACCCTTTGGAAATCATAAATTCACAGAACCCTGCCTCTGTTCCTTGGGAATCCCTAAATACTGGGATTCTTATATTTATCTCCCATCTCACTGCACCTAGGGACGCTCCCACACTCTGTCTTGGAGACCCCCAATCTCCTCTCACCTTATCCCTTCTTAGATCTTTCTGTTGGGGCCTGTATTCATGACTCTTTCACCTCCAAAATCCCTTCTCCCATCCCACAACCCCAAAAGCACAGAGGTGAACAGACCTGTATTTGAATTTTAGACCTTTGTCCTTTGGGGCAAGTACCTTTTCCTTTTCTGGCCTCAGTTTCCTCATCTGTCACATGGGGACATCATGGTACCTCACGAGTCCCTTTGGAGGGATTCAACCTGGTTATCTTGAATATAGTCCTTACCAAGCGCTCAATAAAAAAAAAAAAAAAAAAAAAAAAAAAAAGCCAAAACTGCCATTCCTCCCCTGAGCCAGCACCTTGGGGAACTGTCCCTTGCCTGCCTGGTGCCTGGAATGGGCATCACCCTTAACCTCTGGCCTTCATCAAGTCCCCCTGACCACTGTTTTTCATTCTTTCCTCTCACCCTTCCAGGGCACCTTCTCTCTCATCATTGAAACCTGGAGAGAAGAGTTAGGAGAGCAGATTGGAGGTGAGTGTCGTCAGTTTTGGGACTATTGTGTAGTGTGTGAGTTGGGGCTCAACATCAGGTCCAGGAGAGTGACTTGGGGCAGTCTGTAGGGTGAGGCATCCACAGGCTTGCTGGGCCCATAATGTCATCAGAGCTCCTGGAGGGTCATGCTGGGTGTTGATAGCTCCAGGGCTCTTGGAACATCGATAGAGCAATGTCCTGGTCCTGGGTGTAGGAGTCTGTGGTCCTGGGTGTAGGCGTCTGTGGTCCATGGAGGAAGCACTTACTATCTTGGAACTGAAGCCATCAGAGCAGGACAGGGCATCTCACAATGACAGTCATGCTCTGTCACCATCTAATTTTGAGAACCAAGGATACGTTACTTTTGGTTCTTGTAGACGAAGCTCTGTTAGTGTGTCTGTATAGAGGTCCCAGGGAGCATGGGCGGTTGCAATTTTATTTTATTTTTTGCATTTATCCTCAGATAGAACAGGAGGGAGAGAATGAGGAAGAGAGAGAGAGAAACATTGATGTGAGAGAGACACATCTACTAGTTGCCACCCACATGACCCCAACCAGGGCCGGGGACAATCTGCAATCGAGAACCTGGGACTCTCCGGTCCGCGGGCCAACTTTCCAACTGCTGAGCCAAACCGGCCAGGGCTGTTGCAATTTTTTTTTTTTTTTTATCCTCACCCGAGGACATTTTTTGTTCAGGTAGAGTGGGAGGGAGAGAGAGGAACAGAGAGAGAGAGAGAAACATCGATGTGAAAGGAACACATCAAGTGGCTGCCACCCGCACAACCAACCAGGGCCGGGGACAAACTTGTTGCAATTTTATCAGAGAAAATATTGAGAAAAAGTTTCAGGGAGGGATATGGGGTGACCTTATCCTTAATTTGAGGGGACTTTGGTGTCATGTAAGGCCCACGTGGGGATTCTGTCATCATTTTGATATAGAAAACTGTGGTACAATATTAGAGTTTGCCCTGGCCGGTTTGGCTCAGTGGTTGGAGCATCGGCCCGTGGACCAGAGAGTCCTGGGTTCGGTTCCCGCTAGGGGCACATACCAAAAAAAAAAGTAAAAGTGAAATTATAAAAGTCCCACAAAAATTTCTTTAAAAAATATATAGATTGGGGTTTGACAGCCTTGCTGGGGGGAAACTGCCACTCTCTCAGTATCCTAAGGCATCAAGCAATAAGGGTAATTTATGATTTAGTAATTGGGTCTCTGTTACCATTTTGATATAGGAAGATCCCAAGGCAATTTGGGGGTATTATGACCTCACTTCAAAAGACCTGTTATTGCCTCAGAGGTTAGCGTGTCGGCCCCTGGACCACGGGTTGCGGGTTCTATTCCCAGTCAAGGGCAGTACCTGGGTTGCAGGTTTGAGCCCCGCCCGTGTTAGGCTCAGGAGGCAACCAACTGATGTGTCTCTCTCATATCAATGTCGCTCTGTTTTAAAAAATCCTCACCAGAGGCTATTTTTCCATTTATCTTCAGATAGAGTGGGAGGGTGAGAGAGAGAGAAACATCGATGTGAAAGCGACACATTGGTTGCCTCCCACTGTCCCACAGGACCCCACCAGGGCCGGGGTGACGGCAACCAAGGTGTGTGCCCTTGGCCAGAATCAAACCTGAGACCCTTCGGTGCTCCGACTGATGCTCTAAACCGCTGAGCCAAACCGGCCGGGGCGATGTCTCTCTTTCTCCCTCCCTTCCACTCTCTCTCTAAAGAAAAAAAAAGAAAGAAAGAAAAAAGAGAAGAAAAATCAATGGGAAAATATCCTCGAACTAGGATTAACAACAACAGTAAAAGACCCGTTATTGTTCCTTAGCTGTATCGAGATATCAAATGTCACAGGGTGTTAGCGGTCTCACCCTAATATACAAAGATCGTGGGACAAACTCTGCGGTATTTCGGCTTCTATGGAAGAACTGTGATCATCATGATGGTCACTAGGTACTAGATGGGATCGCGACATCAAGGATCCCAGGGCGCATTCGGGGTTCACTGGCATCACTAAGATGTAACTGGCATTCTCAGGCTGAAAGGGGGTGCTTTGGCCGCGCTAAGAGGGGCCAGGAAGAATGCGGGCGCCCTTTGACTCTACAGCGAGGCTGGGTGCAGCCGCGACCCGGCCGGGCCCATTCCAGCGACACGCTCTTCTCCCCGCAGGTCCCGCCTGGAGCCTGCTGGCGCGCGTGGCCGGCCGGCGCCGCCTGGCGGCCGGGAGCCCTTGGGCTCAGGACGTGCAGCGCGCAGGCGCCTGGGAGCTGCGCTTCTCCTACCGAGCGCGCTGCGAGCCGCCGGCCGTCGGGGCCGCGTGCGCGCGCCTCTGCCGCTCGCGCAGCGCCCCCTCGCGGTGCGGCCCGGGACTGCTCCCCTGCGTGCCGGTCGAGGACGAGTGCGAGGCGCCGCGTGAGTCCTGCGTTTTGCCCCAACTCATCCCTTGCCCTTCTAGCTCCATTCATCGTCCCCGGGCCTCTTTTGCACCCCGGTTGCCCTCTTCTGGGAACTGGGAGCTCGAGAACCCTCCCCAGGTACCCCAGGACCCCACTCTGGGAAACGAGGGAATGCCGTTGACTGCTGTCCATGTACCCCAAGCCCCACTCTAGTTTCACTCGTGGGCCTTAGCTCCCTCCCATGATCCAGTTACCTGCTTCTGGAAAACTGAGGACCATAGGCTTCTCTCCAGCCCTGCCTGGGCACTGCAGTCCCCTTCCCTCTTCCTAGCCCGCTTGTTGCCCCAAATAGAAACCCCATACCCATTTCCAATTCTGGTACCCCCCTTCCTCCCCTAACCCATACCCACACCTCTTTCCAGATGCTAGGACCACCACAGCTCTTCTACTCCAGGGGCTCTCTCGAAGCCCCACCTAGGAACTTTGGAAACCCCTCGGAGTCCCCCCCAAAGGATCCTTCATCCTTCCTCCCTGTAAACACAGGCCAGAGCCCTTTGTTTTCTTTCTTTTTTTTTTAAATCCTCACCCTAGGACACTTTTGCATTCATCTTCAGGTAGAGCGGGAGGGAGAGAGGGAGGAAAAGAGAGAGAGAAACATTGATGTGAGAGAGACACATCGAGTGGTTGCCGCACACACAACCCCAACCAGGCCCGGGGACAAACTGCAACTGAGGTAGTGCCCTTAGCGGGGACCAAACCTGGGTCTCTCTGGACTGCAGGCCGATGCCCTAACCACTGAGCAAAACCGGCCAGGGGCAGATCCCATTGCTTTCTAAAGCTTGAGATCCTCGACCTCCATCCTGGGAATCCTTAGAACACTCCCCAAATTTCTAAGCCCCACCAAAGCTCCTAGGACTGCTGGGCTAATCCAGGTCTTTCCACCTGCCGTAATCCAAGGCCCTCCCACCTCCCCTAAAAGGCCAGGGTCCCTCTCCAAGCTCAGACCTGAGAGTTCCCACTCCATTCTTCATCCATGAGCACAGACTCTGGAGCCCAATGGCCTGGGCCCAACTCCTCTACTTTCTAGCTGGGCGAGTCATCCCACCTCTCCGGGCGTCAGTTTCCCGTCTGTTAACTGGGGGTTGCTATATCATCTAGCCCAGAGGGTTGTCTGTCACAGGACAAAACAAGGTGGTAGCACAGAAAGCACTTAGAAACCGCTCTGATTTCTATCCTCTTGACTCTGCCCTCATCAATATTCTTCTTCCCTCTGCCTCTCTGTCCCCCATAGCGGCATGCCGAGCTGGCTGCAGCCCGGAGCATGGCTTCTGTGAGCGGCCTGATGAATGTCAATGCCTGGAGGGTTGGACTGGGCCTCTCTGCACAGTCCCTGTGTCCACCAGCACCTGTCTCAGCTCCAGGGGCCCGTCCTCGGCTGTCACTGGATGCCTCGTCTCCAGTCCTGGGCCCTGTGATGGGAATCCGTGTGCCAATGGGGGCAGCTGTAGTGTTAGTATCACCCCCCTCCCAACTTATCCTGATCAATAATTTACCCTGGGAGTTCCCACCCCCCCCTGACCGGGGCTCCATGAGACAGCAGCCTGGGGAGGGCTCGAGTAGCTGTCAGGGGAGGGCTTCCAGAGGTGTCCAGTCTGCATCTAGGATGAGGTGTTAGGAATGGTATTGGGCAGAGTAGACCCAGTGGCTGGCACCTAAGGGTGTGGTATGGGAACGATGAGTCCTGTGGGGGCCACAAACTGTCCCTCCTGTGGGACAGAGAACAACTCTGGACTCAAGGTAGGGAGCGGTGGGGCCAGGTGGTGTGGGATTTGGGGTGAGGGCACCTCAGAGAGGGCTTCCTGGAGATGGGCCCAGGGCTAGGGCTTCGGAAGTCCATTTGGCTGCGGGTAGGTGACTGGAGAGCGTGGACCAGGTAAGCGGCCTGGGGTAAGCACAGGTGTGGCTGTGGGGGTGAGCCTGGTGTGTACCGGGATAATGTAGAGCCCAGAGTGGGCCCCCTGGACACTGCCAGCCCGGAACAAGGAGACACACTCAGGGTTCAAGTTAGGGGGAGAGCCTGTGAAGGGGAGGTCCAGGGAAGGCTCCGTGGAGGAGGGGGGCTCAGAGCTAGAAGCTCAAAGTAAGACTGGCTGTGCAGACAGAATTGGGGAGGGCAGACTAGGCAGGCAGCATTTGGTAGGCAAAGGTGTAGAGGTGGGAATGGGTTCTCTCTGGGCCTCCAGAGTCTCCTCCCTGTGGGGTTGGATGGGCAGACACAGAAACATGGAATGGAGGGACATGTTGTCTTGGGAGGACTTTCCAGGTGAGGCCCCTGCATGCTGGGAGGTGGGACCTGACAAGGAGCAGCCCCCATGGTTAAGACTAAGGAGGGGGGTGGGATTTTGCTCCAGGGAGACCTCAATCCGGTCCTCTTGCTCTTGCCCAGGAGACACCCGGGTCCTTCGAATGTGCTTGTCCCCGTGGGTTTTACGGGTTGCAGTGTGAGGTGAGCGGGGTGACATGTGCTGATGGACCTTGTTTCAATGGTGGCTTGTGTGTGGGAGGTGCAGACCCCAATTCTGCCTACATATGCCACTGCCCGCCTGGGTTCCAAGGCTCCAACTGTGAGAAGAGGGTGGACCGGTGCAGCCTGCAGCCCTGCCGGAATGGTGAGGTGGGGAGACCAGAATGTCAGGGATGGGGGTGGGGGTCCCTGCATGGTCAGTGGGCAAAGGCGGGGCTTGGTTCACACAGTCCCGGGTGGCAACCCTGGCTTTGCCTCCTTTAGCCCTGTGGCCTGGAGAAGTGCCCCTCTTCCCAGCCTCAGTTTGTTCTGTCAAATGGGTGAGGTGATATTCCTAGCTCATGGATATTTATTGAGCATCTACAGTGCGCTAGACTTTGTTCTAGGCACTGGAGATACAGCAGGGAATGAAATCCAAACCCCTGTACTCGTAGAGCTGGTGGGACAGATAGACAATAAACAAGACAAATAAGTAAATTATGTGGGAGGTTAGATGGTGATAAAAACTAAGAAAAATAAAGCCAGAAACAGGGTGGGAAGTATGTACGAGGGGGCAGGTTGACATTTTAGCTAGAATGATTAGGGAAAACCTTGCTGAAGGTAGTGAGGGAGGGAGCACTGTGGGGACCTGGGGAAAGACTGTGTTCCAGGTGAGGGAACAGCACGTTGTAAAGACCCTGAGGTAGGGAGGTGCCCAGTGCAGCTGAAGACCACAGGGAAGCCCGTGGGGCTGGGGCGGTGAGTGAGGGGAGCGTGGTGGGAGTGGAGGTCGGGGAGGTGACCAGGACCGATCCTGTGGAACTTCATGGGCCATAGGGGAGGATTCTGGTTTTACCCAGAGAAAGATGGAGCCACAGGAGATGTGAGAGCAGTGGAGAGACCTGATTTGAATTCGATGTTAAAAGTTTAAATATGAATGTAAAGGGTTTGGTGCATTCTTATGATAATGAATTTTCACCAAAACACTGAGTCCTCATTGGGGGGCTGAGTGGTACTAGGGACCCAGCAGTGACCAGGGCAGTCCTGGGTCCTGCCTTCATGGGGGAACCTGCCCAAAGGATCACCCTCGGCTAGAGCCGAGTGGCCAGGGTTGTGCTGGGCGCATGCAGGCTGGGCGGAGGAAGCGTCCTGGAGGAGGAGGCATCTGAGCAGAGGCCTGAAGGCTGAGCTCGGGAGGAGAGATGTGCAAAGAATGGGAGAGAAGAAGGGAAGCTAAAGGGAGGAGGCACGGGCAAAGGCCAGGTGGTTCTGGAATTCTCCATGATCTAAGTACGGTGGAAGCCCAGAGAAAGAGACGCAGCCAGGCCACGAGGCTGAGTTCATCAAGACGTCGGGGCGGGCAGGGAGCTCCAGGCACAGAGTTAGGTGGAGACAGAGCGGGGGTGGGGGTGGGGGCTCCCTCTCTAGGGCCGCGCCCTGACGCCCCTTCCCCCAGGCGGGCTCTGCCTGGACCTGGGCCACGCCCTGCGCTGCAGCTGCCGCGCCGGCTTCGCGGGGCCACGCTGCGAGCACGACTTGGACGACTGCGCCGGCCGCGCCTGCGCCAACGGCGGCACGTGCCTGGAAGGCGGTGGCGCGCGCCGCTGCTCCTGCGCACTAGGCTTCGGCGGCCGAGACTGCCGCGAGCGCGCCGACCCCTGCGCCGCGCGGCCCTGCGCCCACGGCGGCCGCTGCTACGCCCACTTCTCCGGCCTGGTCTGCGCCTGCGCGCCCGGCTACATGGGCGCGCGCTGCGAGTTCCCCGTGCGCTCGGACGGCGCGGACGACGACGACAGCGCAGGCGCGTTGCCCGCGGCCCCGCCAGGCCTCAGGCAGGGTGACCCACAGCGCTTCCTTTTGCCGCCGGCCTTGGGGCTGCTGGTGGCCGCCGGGTTGGCCGGCGCTGCGCTCCTGTTGGTCCATGTGCGACGCTGTGGCCCTGGCCGAGAGACTGGGTCTCGCTTGCTGGCGGGGACCCCGGAGCCATCGGTCCTGGCGCTCCCTGATGAACTCAACAACTTGAGGACGCAGGAGGGTTCCGGGGATGGCCGGAGGTGAGGCTGGCCGCAGAGGATGCCTTGTTCCTCCGCGCTGCTTGCGACAATTCCCTTTGTGCTGTCGGCCGGATTCCTTGATGGGCCTTCCTGAGTGCCCTTCCTGTCGTCCCCGCGCCAGCCCTTTTCTGATTGGGTCCTTCCACAGTTCCCCCAGGTGGCTTTGGGTTCCCCTCGGTGGTGGTGACCCGATCTGAGAATTTAAAGAGCCTGGGTCTTACTGTTTTTTCCTCGCAGCGCTTCGGTAGACTGGACTCTCTCTGAAGATGGAGACTCAGGAGAGATTTACATCATCTCTGCTCCTTCGGCCTATGCTCGGGAGGTAGCTACCCCGTCCACTCCCTCTGCAAACATGTGCAGCCGGGGGAAGGCAGCCCCTGCTCTGCCTGTAGTCCTCCGTTACCATGTCTGTACAGTGAGGCGGGTAGTCTTTGGAAGGCCCTTAACCCACTTTTCAGTTCTGAGTCAATTTAATTCCATCGGTAGCCCTCTTGCTGCTACCTTCTCTTTGGAAGACCTTTGGGCTTCAGGAGGTCGGGGGGGGGGGGGGGGGCGGATCCTCAGGCAGACCTTCTCTACTGATTCTACTGATTTCCCCTCACTGGGGCGGGGGCGAGGGCGGGGGTGGGGGGGGGGCAGCCCATTCTAATGCCTCCTACTCATTTTGTTTCTAGGCCTGACCTGCTCCTTCTCCATCAGTGCCCGGAGACAGAGCCTGGATATTTTTGTATTTACTTGATGGTGCCCAACCAATCTCTGTCTCAGATACTTTGGAGTTCAAGCTGGAAGGGGTGTCTTGGAGAATTTTACCATTGGAAGTACATAATGGTTATTTATACCCCCCCCCCCCTTCTCTCTCTCCAGAGACATCTATAAAGACTCTTATTTTGATCAGCTTTGACTCATCAGGGTGTGTGCTTTGTATTTGGTGTTGGGGCTGCTCCATCTCGTTTTCACTCTGGGGTGAAGCTAAGAGCAGCCTCAGTCTGGCACATTTCCAGGCATTATGGGAAAGGGAATAGCGGACCATGTGCTGAGGCTCATAACATTTCTGCTCCGGTTGTATTGGTTGAAGTAAGTCGCATGGCTAAGCCTGGTATCTGTGGGGCAGTAAGTAAATCCTCTCTGAGGGAGGAACAGTGAATATTTTGAATGGAATAGAATCTGCCGCAGATATATACCCAGGAGAGAGATTGCCAATTTCACCAAGTATTGACAGATTGCTTCCTCAGTCCACACCCACCATGATGTACAAGAATTCCTGGGGAGACTGTCTTTTCTCTGTGCACACCTTTGTTCTATTTAAAAAGTTTTCCCACAAATACATATGTTTGTTTTGGAAACCCTCAGGAAGGGTTTCCTGTGACATCACCAGGTAACAACTTTTTCTTTCTTTTTTTTTTATCGTCACCCGAGGACACTCTTCGATATTTTGTTCAGATAGAGTGGGAGGGGGAGAGAGAGAGAAAGAAACATTGACGTGAAAGGGACACATCGAGTGGTTGCCACCCACACGACCCAACCAGGGCCGGGGACAAACTGCAACCAAGGTACATGCCCTTAGTGGGAACTGAACCCGGGTCTCTCTGGACCACAGGCTGATGCTCTAACCGCTAAGCCAAACTGGCCAGGGCAACTTTTTCTTTCTTAATGTTATCAGGTAGAATAGCAGACTGACTCCTGTTGTCTCTAAGGGAGGTGCACTAAGATCTGCTTATGTTAAAAATTTTAGATATCGGCAGTTTAATATAGTTCAACTGAATACCAACTTACAGGAAATTCAGAGGATACAAAGACATGTTATGTAACATAATGGGGATGAGCAAAATCCAGACTGTGGGATTCTATGGGATACATGGTTGGCTTCTGCAAGAAATAATTAGCATTGCACTTCCTATCCACTAGAATGACTAGTCACGGTGACAGACAAAAACAAGTGTTGGCAAGGATGTGGAAAAATGGGGACTGTCATACACTGCTGGTGGAATGTAAAATGGTGAAGCCCCTTTGGAAAACTGGCAGTTAAAAAAAAAAATTAAACACAATTACCATATGGCCCAGCACCTCTACTTCTAGGTATCTACCCAAGATATACACATACAAAAACTTGCATGCAGATATTCACAGTGGCATTATTCAGAATTGCCAAAATATGGGAGCAACCCAAGTATCCAACTGGTGAGTGAATAAACAATAGAGTCTATCCCTACAGTGGAATATTATTCAGCCATAGAAAGGATTGAAGTACTGTACATATTACCACTTGAAAACACACTAATGGAAGGTGCTGGTCACATATGATTCCATTGATATGAAATGTGCAGAAGAGGCAAATCTATAGGGACAGAAAGTCGATTAGTGTTTGCCTGAGTCTGGGGGAGGGGCTGGGGATTCACTGTAAACAGGCAAAAGGGATCATATTAAGGTGATGGAAATATTCTAAAAACAATCATGGTGATGGTGCACAACTTGGTCAATTTACTACAAATCTTTGAGCTATATACTTAAAACAGGTTAATTTTGTGATCTGTAAGTTATACCCCAATCATTTTGTTTTATTAAAAAAAAACAATTTATAATTTTGTTTACTAAAAAAAGCAAATAATTGCTCTGGCCGGTCTGGCTTGGTTGGAGCATCATCCTGTGCACTGAAGGGTCGTGGGTTTGATTCCTGGTCATTGCCATGTGGGAGACAACTGATCAATATTTCTCAGGTCTATGTTTCTCTCCCTCTCTCTAAAATCAATCAATCAATCAATCTACAATTATCAAGGGAGGAAAAGGAATGAAAAACCTATAAGCGAAAAGAGACTTGAAAGATGAACAGAAAAACTGTAAAAGGAGTAACAATGCATCCTGGCCAGTGTGGCTCAGTTGGTTGAGTGGCATCCCATGCACCAAGAGGTCCCTGGTTCCATTCCTGGTCAGAGTACATGCCTGGGTTGTGGACTGGGTCCCCAGTAGGGGGTGTGCAGGAGGCAGCTGATTGATATTTTTCTCCCATCGATGTTTCTATCTCCCGCCCCACCTCTGAAATGAATAAAAACGTTTTTGTTTTTTTTAAAGTAATGATGTGATTGCCATAAAAGCCAGCATAATGTTGAGGTGGTCAGGTGACACGGGAACTGAGTTGGGAGGGTGCATGCAGAGGGAACACAGGAAGCCTCTGTCTTCTGACACAGGTGGTGGTTATAGGGATGTCTGCCTTATAGTAGCTCCTTATGTTATAGAAGTTCTTTTATGCAGCTTTCTGCATTTGTGTTACATTTAACAAAAATGTTTCTAAAAACAGGCAGTTGTATCAGTTATCAATTGCCCTGATAGTGCTGCATAAGCTCAGTGACATAGAACATTAAACATTTATTTTTGGTGCCCAGTCTACAGGTTGGCTGGGGTTCTTTTGCTCTGGGCTGTGCTGATCTGGGAGGGGCTCTGCGGTGGGCTGGGAGCTGGCTGCCGCAGCTCTGCTCTGCTCCCCTCCACTCCACCCGCAGCAGCCTGGCCCTGGCTTATGCTCATGGCTGAGGCAGGGGTCCTAGAGAGAACGGATGCCATTGAACATGTCACTTCCCCCTCATCCTACTGGCTAAAGCAAGTCACAAGGCCAGCCCAAGTTCTGGGAGTGGAGAAGCACTCTTGTTGGGGGAAGGTACAGTCCCATTCCAAGGCATGGGTGGGGGAGGGTGGGGAAGGGTGGAGAACTGGGGCCACTTCTGCAGTCAGTCTCCAACACTGGAGCGCCTTCCCCCTCCCCTTTGGAAGGTAAACCATCCAGGCTGTTGGATATAGACACACCTTTTCTTAATGTCAAATCACTAAAAACACAAAAACAAATCAACGTGTTGCAGGTGTCGCTCAGACGAAGAATCCATTCCCGGAGGCGGTAGGAAGCAGGGCGGGCAGTGATTGCCTGTTGACTGTTGACGGCGCTGTTTTGGATGTGGGACGGAGGGGAGGTGCAACCGCCTCTCCAGGTCCTCAAATTTCCTTCCAGATGAGATGGAACAAATCTAAGTAAGAGCCAGAAGAGAGGAGGATCTGCCTTAATTTTGGGAATATCCCAAGACAGTCCACATTTAATCCTACTAGTACATTGAAAAATAGCAAGCCTACATCAGCCAATTTCCACCAATCTTCCTTCCCCATATTGCCTAGTGGGTATAGGCTTGGACTTTGGAAATGAGCAAAATCACAGGAACTGAAGAAGAAAGGACAGAGAAAAGTAACAAATGGGATATAGCAACAAATGAAGGAGTCATATTATTAGAACATCAGCCAAGAGATCTGCTTATTCCTTTAATTCAGTCAGCAGATACCACAGATTAAATAAATACCTATATATTCAGGTTTCACTATAGAGGATTTCTGTCCTGAAGAATGACTGTCATTAAAGAACAAATGGACATTGAAACAAAAGCCTATTATAAAATAATATTTAAATGGAAATTAAGAACAACATCAACACCAGCCCAGAATTCCTTCTGAGACCACTCTCGAAGTTCAGAGGCGAAGATCCTTGGCCGCCTTGAACAGCTGGCTGAGAGTGGAACTCAATTCAAAAGCAAAGCTGGCACCCTGGCCGGTTTGGCTCAGGGGTTAGGGCATCAGCCTTCAGACCCAAGGGTCACAGGGTCAATTCTAGTCAAGGGCAGGAGACAACCAATCAATGTGTCTGTCTCTCTCCCACCCTTCCACTTTATCTAAAAGTCAATGGAAAAACCATCCTCGGGTAAGGACTAACAACAACAACAAAGCAAAGCTGGAAAGATGTGCTCTCCCACCTTGGATGGGAAGAACTCAACATGTTTTGTTTTTTTTTATCCTCACCCGAGGACATTTTTCCATTTTTTGTACAGATAGAGTGGGAGGGAGAGAGAGGAAGAGAGAGAGAGAGAAACATCAACGTGAAAGGGACACATCGAGTGGCTGCCACCCGCATGACCAACCAGGGCCGGGGACAAACTGCAACCGAGGTACATGCCCCTAGCGGGAACCGAACCCAAGTCTCTCTGGACCACAGGCCAACACTCTAACCACTGAGCCAAACCAGCCAGGGCTCAACATTTTTTTTTTTTTTTTTTTTGATCAGTGACTGCACACAAACTGAAGTCAGGCAGTTGAGTCCCATAGATTTCCCCCTTTGATATAGTTCCTGGTCTAAAGGATGCCTCACCTATGGCAGTCTTGGCCCGGTCACCATACACATCCATTAGTCATCACAGGAACTGAGCTGGAGTTCTCTGATTCGCCATCACAAGGAAAGAGTCCTCTACCCAAGTCAGCAGGCCCTGCTCCACGGCTTTGCTGCAGGTTTACCTTAGAGTGGCAGCGTCCTGAACAAGGAAGGCCATCTCAGATTATTAGAGCCCACGGGGAACGGAAAGTTATTCTGGTCCAAATTGCTCGCTTTATAGGTGAAAGGAAGCAGAGAGCCCCAAAGGACTCAAGTAGAAGGCATTCCACACCAAGGGTCAACTTGTAATTTTTTTCTCTTTTGGCCAAGCTGTCAATTTTTTAGGCCAAAACTTATTGCATTTAGCACAATGGCAACAGTACATAAAGTAACATAAGTGATTGCTGAGAAAAAATAAGTAAAATAAGAAGCCTACAGATGCACAGGAGTCAGACTGCCCGGTTCAGTCTTGGTTACACCACGTATTCAAGCAAGTCATTTCACTTCTCTGGGCCTCAGTGTCCTTACTGGTAAAATGAGAATGATAACAGAATCTGCTTCAAAAAGTTGTGAGTATTAAATAATAAGCGCAAAGCATTTTATAACAGAAGTTGGCAAATAATAGGTCCTCAGTAAATGTTAGTTTTCAATATTATCTAGAAGAGGAAAGCCTATTCCCCCGAGGGCCAAACTGAAGTCCAAGATGGTGAGATTTGCTTAGCATCACACAGAAAATTGGATGTCTTTCACGATCCTCCTTGGACCCCTAGGTCAAAGGTTTAACACAGGAAGGGCTCAGGGATTGGGAAGAACAGTGGATCAGGACTCTTCTGTTTGAAACCCTACCATTGCCCGGCTGGTGTGGCTCAGCAGTTGAACATCAACCCATGTACCAGGAAGTCACCGGTTCGATTCCCGGTCAGGGCACACGCCCAGGTTGTGGGCCGGATCCCCAGTGCTGGGCATGCAGGAGGCGGCCAGTCGATGTTCTCTCTCATCGATGTTTTCATCTCTCACTCCCTCTCCCTTCCTCTCTCTCTAAAATCAATAAAGAAAAAAGAAAAAAAAGTTAAAAGAAAGAAACCTGCCATGAATCTGAATAGGGTCTGTACTTGACCTCTTAATATGGGACTAATGTCAACATCCTGTGGTTACATAAGATGTTATTACTTACGTACAGTATATGTGAAAGTTACACAAGAAGCCTCTGTGCTAGTCCCTTCCTCACACTTCTTCTAAGTGTTAAGTTAAACTAGTTCAAAATAAAAAAGAATATTTATCGGGCACCTACTGTTCCAGGCCTTGTTCTAGGAGCTGTGGATTCAGCAGAGAACAAGACAACATCCACCTGCACGAGTCCTTCCTCTGCACTGGGACTCGAGTCCCACAGCTTTCATCTCAGTCCTGGCCCGGCCACTGACTAGCTGTGGGCACGTGTGTAGCACTCAGCACTATATAAATGTAAAATCTGTTTGTGTTGTTACAATTATTTTCTAAGGTTCTCTCAGTCGCCCCTCTTCCAGGAAGCCCTCTCTGACTGCTCCAGCCTAGTGCTAGTCCCTCTTCTGGAGCCCCACAGGTTCTGCGCTTCCCTCACCATATCCCTGAGCCTCTCTGCCTGTGCCTGTGCCTCCCCACCTCAGTCCTGACCACTCCGGCTGTCACTGTTTAGTGATGGGTATGTGTCGTTCCCCCCCCCCCCACACACAGGGAGCCTGATCCCTGGGCCGGGCCTTCCCACGTGTTCTGTTCTCCAGAATCACCCAGTATGGACCGTGCACACGACAGGCACTCACACTGAACACGCGAATGTAAACGACAGTGAGGGGCGCACTGGGGCCATCTGCGTGTTCTTTATGGTTGTGGTTTGGTGGGGGGAGAGGGGACGGGAATTATTCGGTGGCATCTAGAGGTCCCGGACCCCCCCCCCCCCCCCCCCCCCGTGGAACACGGTAGAACGCAGTGTAACAGTGCCCCCTTGGGGTCACGTCTCATTGTAGAACCCTGGTGCGGCCAGGCTCTGCGCCCAAGGAGGGAGGGCAGGCGGGATCCCACCGGGTTTCCCGGGTTCCTCCGGGCCCATGAACAACCAGGCGCGGGCCTCAGCCCCCTTCCCGGCCCGGACCTCTACCTTGGTCCGGGCTTCGACTCGGGCCAGGCCCTCGATCCCGGTCCGGTCCCCAACTCCAGTCAGGCCCTCAACCCCGGTCGGGTCCCTGACTCCAGTCAGGCCCACGAACCTGGTCCGAACCTCGGCGCCAGTCCCGGCCTTGTCACCAGTCCAGTTCCCGACTCCGGTCCCGGCCTCGTCACCGGTCCAGTTCCCGACTCCAGCCCCGGCCTCGACCCCGGTCCGGACCCCGACCCCGGTCCCGTTCCCGACTCCAGTCCCGGCCTCGACCCCGGTCCCGGCCTCGACCCCCGTCCGGACCCCAACCCCGACCCCGGTCCGGACCCCGACCCGGGTCCCGACCCCGACCCCGGTCCCGGCCTCGACCCCGGTCCCGTTCCCGACTCCAGTCCCGGCCTCGAACCCAGTCCGGACCCCGACCCCGGTCCTGTTCCCGACTCCAGTCCCGGCCTCGACCCCAGTCCGGACCCCGACCCCGGTCCTGTTCCCGACCCCGGTCCCGGCCTCGACCCCGGTCCCGGCCTCGACCCCGGTCCGGACACCGACCCCGGTCCGGACCCCGACCCCGACCCCGGTCCGGACCCTGACCCCGGCCCGGACCCCAGTTCGGCTCGAGGCCGCGAACCCGGTCCAGGCCCTGACTCCAGTCCTGGTCCCGAATCCGGTCCCAAACTTGGAGATTTTCCGGAGCTTGGCTCTACCTTTGGATCCGCCCCCAGAACCCGCCACAGAGCCCACTTGGCCGCCTGATCCGGATTCTGCGCCCACGCCTGGTGTGGAACTCCAGCCACCAGTCACCAATGAATTCGCGGCCCCCCCAGGGCCCCTTCCTGCGCTCACTCCGTCCGCCACAGACGTGCTGGGCCCCCCTCTCGGGTCCACCGCTACAGCAGATCCCGCGGCCAAGATGACAGATTCCGGGGCTGGACCCGTTTCCTTCTTCCCTATGCGGGCCAGCACATTCGCCTCCACCAGCGACCTGGAAAACAAGATCAGCGACGTGGAAAACAAGATCGTGATTCGAGTGGTTTATTGGTGAGGGGCTGTCCCCACCCTCACCTGCCTTCCTCCCCACCGGGAGAGGGTGGGAAGGGTAGGGGCAGGGGCTTTGGGGATTTGAAGGTAAGGCGAGGCGAGGGGGTCCCAATTCCCAGCTGGGAAACTTGGCTCCCCTTATCTCTTTGGGGCTAGAGAGCCCTGGATTCAAATTCCTGCTCTGCCCCAGAGGTGAACTCTGGCTCTAAGCTTCATTCATTGACTCAGATTCCTTCCTTCCTCCCCTCCCTTCCACTCCCTCCTTCCTCCCTCCCTCCCTCCCTTCCTAGTTCAGAGTATGCTGCCCACTGTAAGCCAGGCCCAGCTGGGATGGAGTGCTGAGCTCCCTGCTTTTCCCCCTAGGGGAGGCTAGATGGCAGACCCAAAGACAGTGTCCTGAGGGAGGACAAGGGGTGGGGAACTTCAGATTGGGTGGTCAGGGATGGTCCTTCTCATAGGTCTTCTGGTAGTGAGGAGGCTGCCAAGTGAGGAGCTGGTGTGGCTCAGTGGACTGAGGTCTTCCCATGGTCTGAGAGGTCCCAGTTCAATTCCCCTCAGTGCACATGCCCCGGTTGTGGGCTCCATCCCATCCCCATGTTTCTATCTCTCCCTACCTCTCTCTCTGAAAAATCAATGAAAACATAAAAAAAAGAGCTGGGGGTGGGGGTGATCGTGGTAGCAAGGGAGAGGGAAACAGCAAGTGTAAAAGGAGGCAAGCCCCAGGTCTGGAGTGTCTCTTTGCATCAAGGACAACAGTGACAGCAATGACCTTCCTTGACCTCCCTGAGACCCAGGACTGGACCCTCTGGGGGAGGGGCTTTGTCTTCCCTTCAATCCCTATGCCTCTCTTCTGCTCTAGAAGGTTCTCTCCCCTTGTGACTCCCCCATTTTCTCTCTTCTCTCTGCCGGGGGCTGTCTCTCTTCCCAACTCACTGTCTCTTCTCCTGTCCCCATGTTGTATGTCTCTTCTCTTTCTTCCTGTTTCCTTATTCCCCCTCTCTTTCTCTGCCTATCTCCTCCTTTCTATCTCTTTCTCTGACTCTCTGGATTCACTACTGAATTCATTCAACAACTTTTTAGTAAGCACCTCCCCTGTGCCAGACCCATCAGGGGCACACAGTGAGTAAAACGGAGACCCTTGTCCTTAGGTGCTGACATTTTGGTGTGGAATAAGTATGACATAGTAAATCATCTAGTATCTTAGAATGTGATCAGTGCTGTGAAAAAAAGGCATTTTGGGAGGGTGTCACAATTTTAACTGGGGTCCTCAGGAAGGCATCACTGAGAAGGTGACATGAGCAAAGGCCTGAAGGAGGGGCGAGAAGGAGCCAGGTGGACACAAGAGAAAGTGCATTCTGCAGGGAGAACAGCCAGAGGGCATGCCGGATGTTGGGAGGAAGGCGAGGTCCCTGTGGCTGGAGCAGAGTGGGGGGAGGGTATTGGGGGAGGGGTGCAGAGAGGCATAGGAGCAGATCCTGTGGGAGCTTGTGGATCCTGGGGAGGGCTGTGGTTTTCTGCCCCCAGTGAGATGGCTCTGTGGGAGGGTTCTGAGCTGGGAAAGGATGCGATCTGGCTCATGGGTTCACAGGGTCCCTCTGGGCTTGGGGAGATACTGATGCGGTGTCTTCTGTCTCTCTGCCTCCCTCCTTTTGCCCTTGGCCTCCAGTGGCCTCTGAAGCTATAGCCTCCGGGTGAGTAGTTTTTGGCTTTGGAGGTGGGGAGAGTGTGGGACATGAAGTCTGGAAGGAGCTCCTTTTTCCTGTCCCTGAAAGACCTGTGACCCCGTGACCTGGTGACTCTGTGACAGCATGATTACATCTCCCACAGTACATTCTACTGAGAAAGAGTCTGGAGCAACGATTTCCAAATTGTCTACTCTTTGTGAGTGTGCTGGTGACGGGGGAGTGAGGGGAAGTCAGGGCTTTGAGAGCCCCAGGCGCTTGGAGGGGAGCTCAGCCTCCCCCCACAACATTCCCTCCCCAGGAGGAGAGCATTTCCACGCAGGCTACAGGGGAGTTTGAAGTGTTTGTGGACGGGAAACTGGTTCATTCGAAGAAGGTGATTCTAAGTAAGGGTCCCTGACAGGGCAGGAGGGTGGTGCTGGGGTCCTGGATGGTGGAAGACACCTGTGTCTGTGCTCTTTCCCCTCTGCACCCAGAAAGGTGATGGCTTTGTGGATGAGGCCAGACTGCACAAAATTGTGGACATTATCAATGAGGAGATCAGGAAACCTTAGGCAACTGGTGAGCTGGAGGTGAGGCGGGAGGGGTGGAGGCTGGACTGTGGGTGAGTAGGTGGGCAGGGGGCAGGAAAAAGATACCCCAGACCGAATCCTAGCTCAGCCAGTCCTCACTGTTATAATCAGGACAAGTCATCTACATCCTTCCTGAGCCTCAGTTTTTTCACCTGTAAAATGGGGCTGTTGAGGTGATTCTGCGAGATGCCTCATATAAGATACTAAATATGCCCGGCCGGTGTGGCTCAGTCGACCCATGCACCAAGATGTTGCCAGTTCAAATCCTGGCCAGAGCACATGCCCAGGTTATGGGTCAAATCCCCAGTGGGGGGCATGCAGGAGGTGGCCAATCGATGTTCACTCTCATGGATGTTTCTATTTCTCTCTCCCTCTCCCTTCCTCTCTCTCTAAAATCAATAAAGAAAAAAAAAGTATACCTTAAAAAAAAAAAGGTACTAAATAGTACACAGCTAAATAGTACACAGCTGAGGGTAGGGCTCAGTATATGTCAGTTATAAATTTAGTTTCAAAAGAGCTTTATATTTATTCTTTTGAGCTTTTACTTGTAAAGCTGAGCTATCCAATATCAGCATGTGGCTTTTCAATTTAAAATTAATTAGAATCGAATACATAAAGCTTTGCGCAGTGGCAGTATCGTAGCCGATGAGGTTTATCCGAGGCGCGATTATTGCTAATTGAAAATAAAAGATTGGATACATTGAAACTCAGGTATAAGTCACACCAGCCACATGGCAAGTGCTCTGTAGCCACGTGTGGCTACGTGCTGGACAGCACAGGTGCACGACATGGACTCTAGCACCGCAGAAAGTGCCCCTGCGAACGTGGCTGTTTGAAGGTACTGAAGCATATGTACCACGATCTATTTGCCACTGGTCCTGGGTTTTGAAGCCACTTAGTATATACACATTGGCCAGCTGCTACTAATTTTTAAAATTTTATTTTATTTTTAAGCTGCTATTGATTTAATACTTCATCTGTTGCATATCTATTTTTTTACATTTGTTTTCAACTTTATTGAGGCGTGAGTGGTATATAAGGAACAGTGCCCGTTAAAAGCCTACAATTTGATGAGTTTGAATGTATGAGTACATCTGTGAAACCATCACCAAAATGAAGATAATGAACAACATACCCATCACCCCCCAAAGTTCCTTCAGAAACTTCTGTCATTTCTCCTAGCCTCTATCCCATCCCAGGACACCACTGATCTGCTTTCTGTCACCATAGATTAGTTTGCATTTTCTAGAATTTTATATAAATGGAAGCTATAATTTTTAAAAGATTTTTTGGTGGAACGTTTAGACATATACACTAGTTGAGAGGCTAGTATAATAAACTCCATGTACCCATCACCCAGGTCAACTATCACTAACTTTCCTCTTGTCTCATTTCACCTATTTTCATCCCCGCTTTTTAATTTTTACCCTGTAGTATCTGTCGCTCCACTCATTTATGCATTCATTGTTTGATTCTTGTATGTGCTTTGACTGGAGATTGAACCTGTAACCTTGGCAAGAGGTTGCCGGCCAACTGCACTACCCAGCTAGGGCTGCACTGTAGTATTTGAAAGTATATTCCAGGGCTCAGGCTCCAGTGTGGTGGCAGTGGGATGTGGCCTTGAGAGAGTAAGGTGTTGAGACTGTCTGGACAGAATACAGAACTGAACTCAGGAATTCTACAGTGGTCTTCCAACAAGCCTCTCTGCTTCTGTCCTTGTCCATCTCCAATCTGTTTCCAAAGAACAATCATAGTGATGACACAAACAAACATAGTTTCATATGTGAGTAGACACAGACACAAACAGTGAACAGCATGGAAGCTCCAGACAGGTAGCCCCAAACTGGTTACACATAACGTCCGACAGTAACCAGTACCTGAACCCCACCCAAGTGGACCTAGAACCAACACAACCAGTGGTGGACTTCAGACCACACTAGAGATTGACCCAACCAGCCACACAAGCAACACACCCAAAGGAAGAAGCCATCAGGTACCAGACCCTGCTGGGAACAATCCTGCCTTGGGGGGCAGCCCCTGCACAACATCTCATACATAGTGACCAAGATTTACCCTTATAGCTGCTCAGCCTGAAGGGTTAACTCCACCCATGTAAGGGCCAACAGCATTCATCAAGATGCAACTAAAACAGGGGGTCACATAACCCACAAGAAGCATTCCTGGAGCACAGAGCTCAGGTGGTCTAGAATATTCTGCCACTGAGCCAAACAAGACACCTAGAGACTGCACCTGCACAGCAGGCGGCTTGCATGCTATGGTCAGGTTGAGCCTCAGCCAGCCAGCCTGAGGGTTGATCTCATCCATGAATGGGCCAACAGCAATCAAGACCCAGTTACAACAGGAGGGCCCACATAACCCACACAAGGGACATTCCTAGAGCATCCAGCTCAGGAGATCACAGAGACTGCACCACTGGGTCCCACAGGACACTTACTATATAAGGCCACTCCATGATGACTGGTGATCATAGCAGTTCTATTTAATACATAGAAACAAACACACAGAGACAGCTAAAATGAGGAGACAAAGAAACAACCTCCAAATGAGAGAAAAGAAAGAATCTCCAGAAAATGAACTAAATAAAATGAAGGCAAGCAATTTATCAGACATAGAGTTCAAAATAATGCTTATAAGGATGCTCAAACAACTTAGTGAGAACTACAAGGAACGTAGTGGGAACTACATCAGCATGAAAAAGGACATAGAAACCATAAATAAGAACCAGTCAAAAATGAAGAATACCATATCTGACATGAAGAATACATGGGAAGGAATTGAAAGTAGGTTGGATGAAGCGAGGATTGAATCAGCAATTTGGAGACAAGGTAAAAAAAATGCAATCAGAGCAACAAAAAGAAAAAAGAATAAAAAAGTACGAGGATAGTTTAAGAGAACTCTGGGACAATATGAAACATAACAATATCTTCATCATAAGAATACCAGAAGGAGAAGAAAGCTAGCAAATGATACAGAACTTGTTTAAAGAAGTAATCACAGAAAACTTCCCTAAACTGGGGAAAGAAAAAAACAAAACACACAAATTCAGGAAACTCAGAGAGTCCCAATCAAGATGAACCTAAAGACACCCACACCAAGACACATCATAGTTAAAATGGCCAAGGTTGCCCTGGCTGGTGTGATTCTGTTGAGCATCATCCCATGCACCAAAAGGTTGCAGGCTTGATCTCCAGTAGGGAGCATGCAGGAGGCAGCTGATTAGTGTTCTGCTCTTACATCAATGTTTCTCTTTCTCTCCCACTTCATCTCTCTCTAAAAAACCAATAAAGAATCTTTTTTTAAAAATGACCAAGATTAAAAACAAAGAGAGAATCTTTTTCATTTTGTTTTGTTACTCTTCACCTGAGGAGAATTTTTCCATTGAATTTTAGAGAGTGGAAGGGAGGAAGGGAGGTGGAGAGAGGGAAACATTGATGTGAGAAACACTGATGTGAGAGAAACAATGATTGGTAGCCTCCCGCATGCACCCCCACCATGGCTGGGGATCAACCCTGCAACCCAGGTACATGACCTTAACTGGGAATTGAATCCGCGACCCTTCAGTGCATGAGCTGATGATCTAACCACTGAGCCACACCAGCTAGGGTCAAAGAGAGCATCTTAAAGGCAGCAAGAGAGAGACAGTTAGTTACCTACAAGGGAGCTCCAATAAGGCTGTCAGCAGATTAGTCAACAGAAACACTTCAGGCCAGAAGGGATTTGGCATGAAGTATTCAAAGTAATGAAAAGCAAGAACTTGCAACCAAGAATTCTCTGTCAAGTAAGGCTATCATTTAAAATTGAAGGCAAAATAATGAGCTTCCCAGACAAAAAGAGGTGAAAGAGTTCAGTACCACCAAATCAACACTGCAAGAAATGGCTAAAGACTCTGCTTGAGTGCTTGCTTGCTTTCTCTCTCCCTCCCCCTTCCTCCCTCCCTCCCTCCCTTTCTTTGCTTGCGTGCTTGCTTGCTTTCTCCCTCCCCCTCCCTCCCTCCCTCCCTTATCCTCACCTGAGGACACTCCTCCATTTTTTGTTCGGATAGAGTGGGAGGGAGAGAGAGAAAGAGAGAGAGAGAGAGAGACATTGACATGAAAGGGATACATCAAGTGGTTGCCATCCACATGACCCATCCAGGGCCAGGGACAAACTGCAACCAAGGCACACGCCCCTAGCGGGAACCGAACCCGGGTCTCCCCGGACTGCAGGTTGATGCTGTAACCGCTGAGCCAAACCAGCCAGGACAAGACTCTGCTTTAAAAAGAAGAAATAGAGAAAGGAACATAGGCATAAAGAAAAAAATGGCAATAAATAAGTACCTATCAATAATAACTTTAAATGTAGATGGATTAAATGCTCCAATCAAAACACAAGGGTAGCTGAATGACTAAGAAAACTTGACCTGTGTATATGCTGTCTACAAGAGATCTACCTCAGAACAAAAGATTCAGAGAGGATGAAAAAATATATTTTGTGCAAATGGCAATGAAAAATAGTAAGGGTGGCAATACTTATTTCTGACAAAATAGATTTCAAAACAAAGACCATAACAAGAGACAAAGAAGGTCACTACATACTACTAAAAGGATTGCTCTACCAAGAGAATATACTTATAAACATATATGCACCCAACATAGAAGCACCAAAATATATAAATAAAATCAGAAATGAAACAGGAGAAATAACAACTGACATCACAGAAATACAAAGGATTATAAGAAAATATTACAAACAACGATATGCCAACAAATGGGACAACCTGGGTGACATGGACAAATTTGTAGAGACATAGAATCTTTTAAAACTCAATCAGGAAGAATCAGAAAACCTGAATAGACCAATAACAACTAATGAAATTGAAGCAGTTATAAAAATAAAAATAAAATCTCCCAGAAAACAAAAGTCCTGGACAGGATGGCTTCACAGGCTAATTTGACCAAACATTCAAAAAATACCTATCCTCC